TGCCGGTGCCCCTCACTCCTGACCAGCAGCCCATTGCTATGTAGCCAACTACCAGTCCCCTGCCTAACCCCCCCACCCCAATTCATCCTCCCACATTCCCACACAGTGAGCGCCTTCTCCAGCCGATCCCACCGCACACACCAATTGCCCCCAACGTACCTCGTGGCTGGAGAGCCGGGGTCAGCTCGTAGCTGCAGGTGGGGCTGGGGGCTGGGGTGTGTGTGGGGGGGTCTGAGCCCAGGACCAGCACGTGGCAGCCCCTCTGCTGCAGGACGGGGCAGGAACGAGTGAACGAGAAAGGGTGAAGAGAAGGAGAGGAAATGGTGACAGACCTGGAAGGAAGTGGCACCCTGCGGCAGCTGGGAGAGAAATGATTAGCTGCTCAGTTCCCTATTTGGGGGGTGGGTGGAAGGGGGGTGGCAGAAAAGGGGCCTGGGGGGATTTGGGCCCAGACATTCAGAGGAGACGGCTGGGAGTGGGGGTGGGGTATTTAGGAGAGGAAATAGGGGGGCTGTGGAATAGGCTATGGGACACGGGGCCTGTCCCCTCTAGGGGGCACCAGCTCCCATCCGGCCCCAGCACAGGGCCTGGCTGGCTTGGGGGGCAGGAAATGGGGAAGGGGCCTGTCCCCTCTAGGGGGCACCAGCTCCCATCCGGCCCCACGGCAGGGACTGGCTGGCTCGGGGGGGGGCAGGGAATGGGGCAGGGGGCCTCTCCCCCCAGGGGGCCGTGTTTGCGTCTAGGCACAGATCACAGACCCAGCCGTCCAGTCAAGAGCGAGAATCTTTATTGCGCGAGCCGGCCCTGGCCCATTCGTGCCACATGCCGGCCACCGAACGCCGAGCCCCCGGGGCGTGTCCTGGGCAGCCGCAGCAAACCAGACGGGGTGTGTCACGGAGTCCCCGGGCGATGCGCTGGAACTGCTCCCCACAAAGCCAGGCAGGACTCTGGGGAAGTCTCCTCTCTATGAGCAGACTGTCTTCAGGGCAAGAAGCTCACACGGCTTCACCTTCCTGGGTCTGACCCCGGAGCATCCAGCATCCCCTGCCCCTCCGTGCGCTTCCCACAGCGAGTCCTCCCAGACGGGGTCCTGGGGGAGCCAGAGGGTCCTGCACCCCCACTTCGCAGTCAGACGTGACTCTCAGCCAGCCAGTAACACAGAGGTTTATTAGACAACAGGAGCACGGTCTAAAACAGAGCTTGTAGGTACAACCAGGACCCCTCAGTCAGGTCCAACTTGGGGAGTGGGGAGCCCAGACTCCGGCCCTGGGGCTCCCTCCGTTTCCCCAGCCAGCTCCACACTGAAACTCCCTCCAGCCCCTCCTCTGCCTTTGTCTCTTTCCCTGGGCCAGGAGGTCACCTGATCTCTTTGTTCTCCAACACCTTCAGCAGGAGGGGGCCCAGGCCATCAGTTACCAGGAGACAGGGCGTCGGCCATTCTCTGTGCAGACACCATCACACCTGCCCTCCAGGGCTCTGCAACAATCCCACCCCCTGATCCCACCACCTAGAGACTTAAGAAATGCAAAGGGGAAACTGAGGCACGCACACAGTATTCAGAGAAAACATTAAGAACATTCCCACTTCGTCACAGGGGGTGAACGAGGGACACACTGGAACCCCCCAGGGGGTGTTAACGGAGCCAGGAGCTTTGGCCACTTGTCCATAGCCCTGCAAACCGGCCGCTGGCAGAAATTCCCCGTGTCCCATAGAGCGGCCCCTCTGTGCCCGATGGCGGGCAGGGGAGGCGAGGGGGTGCAGGCCCAGCTGAGCCCCCTGGCAGGAGAGAAGTAACAGTGGAGGGCGCAAAGAGAGCCCCATGCCAGGGGACAGTGTGTGGGGGGGTCTCAGCGGGCTTGTGGGGCCCCCCCAATTTTCAAAGTTTCCCCCCAAAATCTCAGCTCTGCCCCAACATCCATGGGGTGAATCCTGCTTCTTGGGGCGGGGGTCGCCTCCTGATCCCCCCCCCGTGCCGGTGCTCACGGCCCCCTCCCCCCTCCACGTCGGAAGAAGTCGGAGATGTCCTGCAGGGTGACGTGGGGCTGGGCTCCCCAGGCCGGCGCCTCGGCGTCCCACAAGGCCGTGCTGCTGCCGGCGCTCTCTGGCGCCCCCGAGTGGATGCCGCTGGAGGTGCCGCTCCCCGAGCCGCCGGCGGGCCCCCGGTACCAGTCCTCGGCGCTGGGCGGGGGGCGCGGGATCCACAGGTCGCCCGTCTCCGCCTGGGGGGCTCCGTCCGGTTGGGGCGGCGGCGCCGGCTCGATCCACAGCGTCCCGCCCCGGCGCCACACGCTGGGCACCCCCCGGGCCCGGGCCCCCCGGAAGAGCCGCTCGCCCAGCAGGGCCGAGATCACCACGAACAGGCCGGCCACCCCGGCCAGCGCCACCATGGGCACCAGGCAGGCGGTGCAGGGCGGGGCGGGGGGCGGCGAAGGGGGCGGGAGCTGGGGGCTGGGGGGCAGAGACGGGGGCATCATCGGCGGTTGGCTGTGGAGAGAGAGAGAGATGGGGAGATAAATGGGGGGTTCCTGGGGGGGGGGGGGGGGG